AGACGATAAGTTTAAAAAACAGAATCCATTATTTATTATTCAGGAGAAAATAGCAGTTACAAAATTCAGATATCCGGAGTAAATAAAAAGAATTACTAATAACGAAGTTTACTGCATCGTGACATTTAAGAAAAAAAGCCCTGATATTCCTTTTGTGAGTCTTTTTATAGCCTCTGGAAAGGCTGAGCTTCCATGAAATAACGTCAGAGAAAACTCTAATTCTATATTTTGTTTGCAGCTGTTTTATTCCGGATTTTACATTTAAATCTATAAAGTATGAATTCAGTTTATTCAATCCAGTTCAGCCAATCCAGTTCGCTTGAAATATTTCCAGAATATTCTAAAACTGTACGTGTAGGAAAGGCGGGAAAAACAACTTCACTACGGGGCTGTGGATTTAATTCCACGTACTTTCAAATAAGAGAACGTCGCCATTAAAAAATGAAAAGAACATACAGTTAGAATTTTAAGTGTATTCATGACTATGGAATTTTATTATTACAAATATATATATTACGTAAAGTGTTGCCATTGCTCGTTTTGAAATCGTTGAGTTTGTCAATCAAAAATTCGTTAAACGATTATAAACATGAAATAGATAATAAAACAATTTTCAAATTTGAACTTCCAGATGCCTTCGAGTGGAAAAGTACATTATTAAGAATTTTATGTCTCTAAGTGCTATTGTTTTTTCACAGTGAGAGAAGCATACATACATTCATGCAGATTCTTCATTATTTAATTTCTTTAAATAAGATGCTGGGCTCTAACATTTGGTGGCCACAATTTGTAAAGTAAAATGTCGTTTATAGTGAAGCAACGCAAAATACCAAAACGAAATCTGGGCAAATTGCCTCTATGGACTAGAAAAAAAATTACCAGTATACCGTGGATTAAGAAAGAAACTCAGAGGAACAGGAATAAGTGGAGAGAGGAAGATGGGAGCATTTGTATTCGAAAGAGAGAAGTTTGAATATTTATTCGGATTTATGTAGCCAAAAGAATCTGTTCTGCAGATTAACTTGCTTGAAAATGCAGGTAATCCCTGAATTGGGTTTTTCTGATAATTAATAATAGTATGGGTTATTCTTCTGAGTTCTTTTACTACTATCGTGTCAACCGTGATTTTTTGTTAACCGTAGACGTTGTCGCTGGAATTAAAACCCGATTGACTGGGAGTTAATAGTAAACATTTATTATTCGGAAACACAATGATTTAAACTTCATTTTCAAGTGTAGACGATGCCATTATAGTACTTTTAAACTAGCATTTCTTTTAGCAAAGTAAATCCAAGTGCAGAAAATGCATTTCTAATATCGAAAAGCGATAAATGCAAAAAAATAGCGCCCCACTCACTCACTCAAAGGGCACAACCTGAACGTTGTTCGCCGTAAAAAAACACGGCTAGTAAAACAAAACGATTGGTTTTTCATTTTTATTTTATTTTTGTATTTTTTTCACTCTCAGCAGGCTTCAACTCCATAAATCTTTCATAAGTAGCGGAAAATTGCGTTTTAAATTTTGAAACTTGTTGCCAGGTTCCTTTGTGAGGATGGTAATTGCCAATATCCTGGCACTGGCTTAACGTTACGTACACACATATGTATATATAGGTCCTCTTTTTACATACATATATATATATATATAGAGAGAGAGAGAGAGAGTTTCTTATATAAAACCTTCTCCCTTCCATGTATGTATTTCAAAAAGGAGAGCAAACTGTGATTCTATGTTTTGTTTGCAGCTATTTTATTACGAATTTTACATTTAGATCTATAAAGTATGAATTAAGTTTATTTGACTATGTCATAGATTGTCCTTCACATGTCCTTAAGTTTCCAATAATTCGCGAGATTTCATGCTTGATTTTATGCACATGTTATAAAAAATTAATAACATTACTAACTTGCACTTTAGTAAAGTAATTATCTACACATTAATTTGGCAACCTGAAAACCCCGATTCTATTCCAAGAAATCTTACTCCCGAGCTTCTGTGGTTCTACATAATTCTCTCGTAAGGTACTTTCTCCCTTCTATCGCATGCCACCGTAGTGTAATTGAAAACACATCCGGCTAGCAAATGGGAATTTGAATCTCAGCTATGGCATTGCAAATTTTTGTTATTTTCTGCTTCGATAAAGCTATTGGTTGTACAAATGTGCCCAAACTAAAAATATGGTGGACGATAATTCGTCACCATCAGGATTTGGCAACCGAGCCCCTCCTCCCTGTCACCCTTTAGGTAGCTAAGAATGTAAAGTGTTATTTTCCCTCCTTACTGCTTGCTTTCGTAAGATAATTGGAAGCACGTCAAACTAGCAAACGAGAAGTCCAGAGTTCGAATCCTGGCAAGCGCATTGCACATTTTTCATGATTCCTGCTTTGACAAACATAATGACTCTATGTAAGGCTATGAAAGAAAAATGGCGTCTACTTTGGGAACGGGGATTTGAGAGACTTCTCATATATCTTCTCCTTCAGAAGACAAGATCTCTGGCAATGAAAACGAGAAGTCATGAGCTCTTTGTAATAGTTATAAGTATAAATCACGTGATACACACACTTGGGGTTGTCAGCTTGAATTGTGGTGAAGATCTGTTAACAGTGGAGGAAAATTTCAAGCCATGTTGCGGGACATAAGGACTGTAAATGTAATAAATCTTCTGGGAATGAAATAGAAATAAGCATTCACAATTTCTTTCTATTTATTTATTTATGATCTGCTGCTTTCCATATGATTTAGTACGGTAATATTATCAGTTCCTTTGATTTTGTTCATGGCTCATGGGTGTTAGGACACCTGTTGCAAGAATACCTAAACTTCAGTGAGTACAAGCTTGGAACAGGTACAGGTACAGGTAGAAACTAGGCCAGCACCTCCGTAGTACCACAGGTAATTGAGGTATTGCTGAACCTAGCTAACTGTTAAACTTTCCACCCCAATTTTGAGGGAGAACACTCCGGGGGGTGGTCCGAGGTTCTCCCGCCCCTCTTTTTTTTACCATCAACCACTTGAGAGGACTTTCTGAGATAACTGAGTTCTGGTATTAATAGTGTACACAAATCATATTCAGAAAAGACTGTCCTTGAAAAGTTCTCAACAACTGATGCTTCCAAAAGCCTAAATGTAAGAGTAAATGTCTTTTCTAAGGCGGAAGGTGTAATAAGCAAGTCTTTGGAGCTCCCGTCCATCAGCATTATGTAGATAAATGAAACTGTTGGAACATTCCATCCCGTTTTCCGAATTGTGTACAAGACATATTGAATCGTCCATTTCCAGGGCTGGGAAATTATAGAACGGAGCTATCATATGGAATATGGCTTAAAAGAAGTCCTTATTTTACCTCACGAAATTTTGTCCTCTGGGGCTTTGCGACAAATTAGGTTTCCTAAAAAAAAAAAAAATAAATAAATAAAAATAAAAACTGATAACGATGACTACCTCAACGAAAAAAAAACCACTCAAACAGTTGCAAGCATTACAATAGCCGTTCTTGCCAAGATATGAACCAAAATTGCATATTTTTATGTTTGTTATGCTGTTATGGTGCACATAAAGAAACTTATTCATTTTGCTTAGGACTATTTTGAATATGACAAGAGTTAGAACCATATAATGTATATATTTAGCGCAGAGAGGTCACGAAATGCTATCATTATTTCTCGAAGATCCTCTCTAATCCAGTCTGTTCAGTGCTTTTCTAATAACAAAGTCGCATAAATAATTTCAGGAAATATAAATTCCTTTTAAAATTTGTTTCAGAAAATTTACTTGCAGTTTAGTATAAATAAAAGTATAAAAAAAGAAAAATGGAAATCACTAATTTGTACCATAGACTATGTAATTTCTATGGCGTGGGTCGCTACTAAAGCCTGAAGCGGTGTCTCTTTATTATGGAGGCACTTAACAGATAGGCCAACGTTGCCTTCTAGGAGGGAAAGGACATATTAAATCCATGCCTTCTCCGGGATTCGAACCTCGGGTCTTCTGTACGACAATTATAATCACGAAACACTTTCTCATTTGGGTGTCTTCTGACATAATATTAAATTCCTAAGTATTTCTTCTACTGTTACACGTTTAATTTTGACATACATATATAGCAGAATTAAAATGTACCTGGACTTCGCGCATAGGTTCTTAACCTTGAATAATTTAAAATATCGTCTAGCAGTCGGTCTCCTTCCAACTCTCAGACAAATTGCAGCCATCCATATTACCTCCTATGATGTTCCATTTACCTAATTTTGTTGAAATAAGTCCTCTACGCTGCATATTTTGCTCCATCAGTGCTAAAGGTAAAAATCTCAGGGAGTCAAATGGGGGAATGATTAAGCGCGTGATTGCCACTTCTGGTGAGAAACTATGCAGCCAGTAGCATGTGATCTGGTAAGAAACGGTCACGGTTTCTAACGAGAAGCTCTCTTTCAAGCTGAGAAAAATGTGACGCAATCGACACCTTTTCTAGAAACACGTTCTCCAACGACCAGTGGGAAAGGTTAAGCCGACTCGATAAACACTGAAATCCAAATGTTTTTTGTTTTCATATAGGTTAGCCAGTCATAACCAAAATAGAAGACCACTGGTAACAATCCTCTTCCACAGTGTTAGTGTTAGTAATCTTTGTGTTGGACTCGAATTGCCAAATGAATAAGAGAGCAGAGCTATGCGATGTGGATAATTGGAAACGTGCCATTCGTTGGGATGTGGCAAGAATTTGCCATTCAAGCTTATACAAAATTTACGGGTCGAGATGCAATAGCATTGGCATAGAGGTACTAACTACTGTTCAGTTTACCAGCTCTCTGGCTATTTATATTGGATGGAGGAGGATGGATGGTCGGTGTAAAAGAATACTGGAACGTGTAACAGACGGTGAGTCCAGATTTACAATGACACGGGTGATCACAGTCCTAGACTTTTGAAACCTATTATATATGTGTCAAGCTACACCCATAATGATTGCTTCTAATATTGTTTTATTTTCCTTTGCCAGTTCGAGGCCGGGTCGCCCACCGAAGAGGGTGTCTATGGTTAGCATGGCGTCGGGAGTCACGACGACAGCTCTGGTCAAAAAGTCCCGGATGGAAAGCGATTACCACGCTTACGAAAATGGTCACATAACCGGTGAGTATGAATATACCTTTGACTTTACATGTAAATTTATAGGTGGTCAATATGCAAAGGCAGACTTTTCGCTAATAATGAGCAGTGAACTGGTTGCTTGGAGGCTTCTAAAAAAATCTTTTTTTAAGCAGATTACAATAAAAATAATTTTCCGCAACTTGTATGTAACTGTTTTAATTCAAATCATTCTAAAAGGAATTATTTATTAATTATTGTTAAGAGGTAAAGGACTGATAAAAGAACTTCTTAATTATTGTTAAGAGAAACGAATTTCCTTTGGCATTTTTTGTAAATAAAAAACTAATTCGCAGGACATAAAAAAATACTAATTTTAATAATGGCGATGTTCCGATAGAATATTTTCTCCAAACACCATTAAAAATTTAATTTCCTATTCAGCCGGAACCAGAAATATCCCTTGACAGTCCCTCCCAACTCAGTTTTCGTGTCTCACCCCCTATTATAACTATGTTATAAACGTAAAGGATTGCGAGTTTATAAACCCCTTATCGAGTTTACTCTTCGCTCGTTTATCAAAATAATTAGGTGATTTGTATTAGCCTATCTTCGCATCCCACTTTTTTTTCTTAGGATAAAGTTTAGTTGCTGTGTTTCCTTCATTTTAATTATTAGCTTATTGCATTATACTTACTTGCTCCTCTAGCTTGTTGCTTGCATTATACTTACTTGCTCCTCTAGCTAGCAACCTCAGCCTCTTTTATTAGCTCTGATTTCCTTCCATATTATAGAAATACAGTAGATGTTCACTATATCAGCAAAGTGGAAAGCACATTATAAGAACTGATCACATTCCTCAACGCATGATGTCGCTGTTAAATGGTTAGCACGTCCTCTAGAAATTGGAAGATCTCTCGGTCGAATCCGACGACAATACGATTTATTTTTTATGTTTCATAGTTTGAAAAGCCAAATATTCTTTGCTCTAGCTTACAAACTAAATCGGGTAGAAAATAAGGGCAGACCATTTAGGTTTGATTGACATGGTCTTGGGCATTTATTCAATTATCCTTTAAGTAAAAGGGGATATAAAGAATTATCATAGTTTTTAGCGCGTGCCCTGGAGGCTTAAATGACTAACATATCTAACTAGAAATTTATATATCTGTGCTAGAACCCGACGAGAAACCTGTGGATCTTTTATGTTACTTACCCAAATGTCTAATAATCTGAGTAAGTGACTCAAGGGTTGAAACTGGAAAACTGTGAAATTGGTATATCGGTGTTAGCATATCGATAAGAGAACTCTGGATTTTTCATGTTACTGGCCACAAATCTCTAATAGTCTCAATAACTGACTCCAGTGTTGAAATACTGTGGACTTTTTAGTCACTCAAGTTTTGACTGAATAAGTGATTCAAGTTTTGAAATTGGAAAATTATGAAACGGGTATATTCATATTGCAATACCGACAAAAGAACTGTGAATTTTTTTACCTTTCTGGACCGAAATGTGTAATAGTCTGAATCAATAACGCAATAATTACTCGAGTATTGTTATCAGAACAAATGTTTCGGTCTCGACTATCTTATCAAATTCAGTTTAAGGCTATTAAACTCAAACAATTTTAGTGTTCTACCTAATATTTTGATGGGGCAGAAAGAATGTGAAACATTTATGGATGTAGTCCTGTTTCATGATTTTTAAAGGCATCATCTGATTAAATTGCTTCTAGCAAAGTTTTTATATTAATAAAATACTCTGTTTAAGCTATGGATAGAATTTAAATTTGAGTCGTACAGTATAGTATTTTCAACTTTCGGAATTCATCTATGCGCGTTCTGCCCTTATATTTTAACACATTCTAAATTACTGTATCCCCGATGTTCCATAATGGTAAATGTAGTAACAGAGAGACTCGGTCATTAGCGGAATTAGAGCGTGAGATTCATCACTTATACCAGTCGCATGATCATAAATGCTGAAATAATGGGCCAGTTGATGCATAATATGCAAATTCAATTCAGTCAGATTTAGCGTTGCGATTTATAGAGATTAATTCTGATTGAAATGTAAAATCAAATTACTCCATCGCGACATTTCCTTTCACTGTAAAGTACCCAACATATTTCGGCAAGAGTGACATTATGCATCTAAAACAACTATAAAGTTTACTGAATAACTGATATGTGCTAGCTTCTGCTAATTGAATAAGATGGATAGAGTATGATAAGTGCTATCAAGATATTAACTAGCAATTACTTATATATATTTGCAGAATCACGACTATAGAGGATCTTTAACAAGTTTATTTACCAAATGTGTCTTGACGGAAAAAATCAATTCACAGAAACAAAATAAATATTCTACCATCGAAATTAGACTTTTTCTCGCTCAAAAAAAAAAAAAAAAAAAAAAAAAAAAATCGTTGGAAATTGCTTTATAGGTAATTGAAATGCTTAATTTTATTTTTGGAAGACGTTGTCGCAAGAGGCATTTTAAATTTGTTTAAAATAAGTTTTCAGTGACGAATAATTTTTAGACATTTGCAGCATGAAATAACTGTTACGAATTTTGCCCTTAGTTAGATATTTTTAATAGAATTCTAGGATCGGTTTTTATTGTCTAAGAATATGATGTTTGTAAACTTACTTCCGATGTGGCTGTATAGGGGCTTGAAATGACTAATCCGACTTAACTGACTAATGACTTCAAATATCTCGAATATTTAATAAAACACGAATAGTTGCTACAAACTATAAAATGATTACATGTGTAGAAGAAAATGGTGCTACTTTGGTAGACGGTTGCACGGATTTTGGCAATTTTTTGGCGATTTGTTTTGGCGAGCGATACGACTTATGGTAAACCCATAGCTAGACAAGTTATTTATGGTAACCGATACTTTGTTCTCATTTTATTTAAAAAATAATAAGTTTTATTATGCATAAATTCCGTGTTTTAAATATTATTTATGACTTCGAAATAATAAAAATGAATTTAATTTTGCATTTTTAGTTTAAATAAAAATTTTATTGTTTATTATATTTTATGGAATTTTATGTTGTGAATGATGTAATGAATGACGTCACATTATTTTAAAAGTAATTGGTTTTAATATCTATAAATTTAATCTAATGTTTTAAACATTATTTATGGCTGTTAAATATTAAAATACAATTTAATTTTGCATTTTTTAAATATGATTTTATTATGAATGATTATTTAAATAATTTTAATTCTAAGCGTGATGTAATCAGCTCCCTGATTGATTACTGAATATTTGTTCATTACCGCGCCATTTTAAAATTTTATTATTCATCTCTTCGAATTCCTCAGATTTCAAAGCGAATGGATGTCTCTTTCGAAGATGCATGTTGTTATTGGTAAAATAATTATTGGTATCGGCATAAAAAAATTGCCGTTTGAGACCTTATTTTGGCCAACCTGGATTTCCTTATCAAAGATTTATTTATTGTTACAAGGGTCAGAGGAAATTTATTTGAAATTTTTAGAGGAAACCTCGTTAATTGCTTCTTCAATGAAGTGCGAGAGATGTGGATAACAGATGGAGATGGTTTTTTTTTTTCTGGTACTTATCAATAAACGACAGGTAAAATACTTTAAAAAAATGTAAGTACATATTTTTCTATTACTTTATAATGGTATACTTTAATTTTTATTAAAAAATTAATACACTGTTTTAAAAAATTCCTGAGATATTTATTGCCACATATGTTTTAATGTTAAATAATAATATCCTATAAAACTTATTTTAAAGGATTTGAATTTAAGTAATTGAAAAATTTTAATTCTTTTAAACCTTGGTATGATGTTTTTAATTCAATATTCAATTTAAGTAATATTTTATTCCAATTAAATGTTGGCGCAATGTTTTTATAGCGGTGTTTTTATTCTATTATATGAAAGTAATAATTTAACCTTACTTTAGCATTTTATACTCTTAGTAAATGTATTTATTTACATTTGCCAGCCATCTTAAAAAACAACGTTTTCAATAAAAAATTAATCCATTATTTTTAACGATATTTATTTATTTTTTTAAAGTTTCGAATACCTTACTATGCGTGAAATACGTAAAAACAGCATTTTTCAAGATGGCTGACGACTGTAAAAACCGCGACAACAATTGCGCCAATGTTAATCGCCAAAAATCCGTGCAACCGTCTATCAAGTAATACCAAGGAAATATATGAGATTATTTACAGATGAAGAGAATTAACCGTCCCGCAAACATCTTTCAACCGCATCATCGTCTTAATGGCGGAATCGTCTGAATTCTATCATCGGAAAAGTAAAAGATTTATTTTCACAGCTTGTCGCGTCATCCGATTATAATGGACGATGCCATCCTACAGAATTATAATTAAAATTGTTTTATTTCCCCGTGCAATGTAGCGTGTGACAAATTTTAAGAGCAACCTACGCCGGAAAAGTAAAAATCCAAGAGCACGTGCATTTAACATTGAATAAAAGTTTATCTCTGTAATTGACTACGATGTTGTCTGTAACCGTAATTCCACACTTTTTGCTTTACAGAAACTGCTAGAACTATCTCGCGTGGCCGATTTAAAAAGCTACAAAATAGAGAAATATCTCAGTTTAGTTGTTTAGATAACTATTGTTTGTTGATTGTAGCGAATTCGCGATGAGTCGGATTAGCTTTCTCTGCACTTTGGATTGCGTTCTATTTAATGCTTTAGTGGTTTAAAATATAGCTACTGTTTATATTGCGTGATATTGTGATATTTTACGAATATCTTTGTTATATTTCTTGTGATTAGAGTAAATTTTATTAACTTTTTATCGGACTTGTGCATTCAATATATTATGAACCTTTACGCACGCAGTAGCACGTATTTGCCAGTAAAACTGTTTCATTGAAAGAGAAATAAAACCGGTTATGGTTTTCTAAATTTAATATGATGACAAATAAAAAAGCGAATATGTCGCTTTTAAATTACGTAATTTAATTGAATTCAATTAAGTAGATAAATTAACTGGTCTTTAGCTTACTTTCT